GAGAATAAGATTCACTCATTCCCTCTCACCTTCCCCTGCTTCCCCTCCACTGTAAGAGACTTTTCTGGTTTTTTTGTGAGATAATTTACCCCATTCTACCTCTCCCTTTCTTCTTTGCCAAGTATAATCCTCTCTCATCCCTAAATTTTATTCTCCAGATATGACCCCTTAATCTTCAACTCACCCTGTGCCCTCTATCTATCTATATATACATACATATAATTTTTTTCCTTCAACTACCCTAATACTGACAAAGGTCTCCTGAGTTATAAATATCATCTTTCCTTGCAGGAATGTAAACCGTTCAGTCTTAATAAGTCTCTTATGATTTCTCTTTCCTGTTTACCTCTTCATGTTTCACTTAAGTCTTGTATTTGAAAGTCAGATTTTCTATTCAACTCTGTTCTTTTCATCAGGAATGCTTGAAAGTCCTCTATTTCACTGAATGTCCATTTTTCCCCCTGAAGGATTACACTCAGTTTTGCTGGGTAGGTGATTCTTGGTTGTAATCCTATCTCCTTTGCCCTCTGGAATATTATATTCATCTTGAATATCATAAATACGCAAACCAATTACAAAGGATTTATGAAGGAAGATGATGTCTACTTCCAGAGGAAAAAACTGAGAGGTAGAAATATGTGTAGTGTGATTTCACGTGTGTATGTGTGTGTGTGTGTGTGTGTGTGTGTGTGTGTGTGTGTGTTTAATTGTAGCCTTCTCTAGGGTGGGGTAGAGAGGGAAGGAGAAAAAATAGTGCACAGCAGACAACAAAAGAAAACTTAGAAGAAGCACAGGAAAAAATGGGGTAGCTTTGAAAACAGTGTGTAGTATTTGCTACATAGTTTTTCAGAAAAAGTAAACAGTCTGATCATGGTTTTATATTGAATTCTACCTATATGCTGTACTATTTACATGGAAATGTTCTTTTTTTGTTTCTTTATATTTAAGTTCAAGATGAATTACAAATTTAAAAAAGTTTTGTTCTGTACTTAAGGACCAAAAAAGAGCACTTCCTTATATAGAATCCCCTTCCCCAATGATTGTATATGAAACTGTGAATCTCCATTTCATACCATTTACCAAAAAAAAAAAAGAAAAAATCTGTGATAATTTCATGTTACTTTCAAAGCTCAATTGCTTGTCTATGCTTCCTTCTGAACTTCCTTCTGAACTTCCTTCCAGTGCATTTCATTGATTTTTCTTTTCATTCAGCAACATTTATTATGCTGAATATTGGAGAGTGTACAGAAGTAAATAAAGTACAATAATTTACCTCAAGGAGTTTGTAATCTAATAAGGGAGATAATTACACATGTAATACAAATTTCAAAAAGGATGAAGATACTATGAAGTGTTATGAGATCAGAGGCTTTCTTGTACATTAAAAAAATGTTTCAAGGGCCCTCTTTTTTTTTTTGCAGCAATGTTGTTAATCCTTCCTCTCCTCTCAATTGTCCATGCCTCTCCTCCCCCATTAAAAACTGAGCAGAAAAAAAATCAAACACCTGTAGTAAATGTTAATTGTTAAGCAGAATGCATCTATACAGTAGTCATGTCCAAGAATGTAAATCTTTTTCTGAACCCTGTGTCTATCACCTTTTTGTTAGGACCCAGAATACTTGCTTCATCATAAATACCCTGGAAATATAGTTGGTTTTTGCTTTGATCATAAGCTTTCAAAGTTTTGTTCATGTATAAATTGTTCTCTTGATTCTGCTTAATTCACTCAGCATCAGTGCACATTATCAAGCATTGTTTGAAATAGTCTCTTTTCTTGTGGCACAGTAATATTCCATTATATTCATATACCAGTTTGTTCAGGTGTTTCCTAGTTGTGTAAGGGGTTTGGTATCCTCTTAGATTCTACTTTTTCTTTTCTTTCCCCTCCCTCTTTTAAGTCTCCCTTTAGGATCAAGTTTGTTTTGCTTTCCCTCCTTGCTATTATTTTTCACTCTATCCATCTTCTCTTTGTCTTTTCTTGTTTGTCTGTTGAGTTTGACATATTTTTACAGCATACAGGGGCGTGCATGTGCATTTTTAATGAAATTCATGTAGTTCCTACTCCTTCCACCTCTTTTTCTATTATAGTACATTCTTCTCCTCATGTACCCTCTTATGAGAAATAGCAAGTTGCAACTACTTCTTCCTCCTTCACCATTGGTGTATTACTCTTTTTGGTATCTCTTATCTTTCTTTTCTTAAGAAAGAACCTCAGAACAGAGCTAATCTACCACCAGGATTTCTGTTTGTCTTGATTTACTCTTGATTTACCCTTTAAAGATGTTAAGGTGAAGGAACATTTGTTTTTCTTCTATTAGAATGTTAGCATTATATCACATACAGTTCATTCCAGCTTTTCAAATAAATGTGTATTTCTGGGTTTCTCTGAACTCCTGGGTTTGAATTTTAGAATTCTTACTCAGCTTTGGGCTTTTAATCACAAGTGCTTGAAAGTCCTCAATTTCATTAAAAATCCATTTTTTCCCCTCTGGTATCATACCCAGCTTTTCAGGGTAAGTTATTGTTGGTTTTAAGCTTTTGACTTTTGGATGGCATTTTCTCTGATTTTTAATAGAAGTTGCCAGGTCTTGTGTGTGATCCTGATTGTTTTTCCTTGGTACTTGAACTACTTCTTTCTGGATGGTTGTATTGTTTTTTCTTTGACTTGGGAGCTTTGCATTTGGGCTACGACATTGTTGGTACTTCTTTTATATTCTTTTTGGGAGGTCATCAGTAGATTCTTTCCATCTTTATTTTGCCCTCTGATTTTACTAGATCTGAGCAATTTTCACTGATCATTTCTTTAAATATGGCATTCAGGCATTTTTTAAAAAACCATTGTTTTCAGGGAGTTCATCTGGGAGTCTGATGATTCCTAAATTACTACTGCTTGACTTGTTTTTCAGGTCAGATTTTAAAATCTGTTTTGTTCTATATTTTCAGTCTTTTAATTTTGTTATAATATTTATTGCTATCTCTTTGGTATGTTCTAATTATTAGGGAGACTATTTCTTGGATAAGATTTATCACTTTCTCTTCTAGTTATTCATTCTCCTAATTATTTCCTCCAGAGTTTTTAGTTTTTGATCTTTTGCTCCATTTTCTTTGGGTGTGCTATTCATATAGTCCATTTGGGAAATCCTCTTTTCCTTTGAGTCTCTGCTTGCTGAAGTTGCAGTTAACCTTTTTTTTAAAACATTTTTATTTAAAGTTTTGAGTTCCAAATTCTATCCCTCCCTGCTTCCCTCCCCTCCCCTCTCCTTGAAATGGTAAGCAGTCAGGTATAGCTTATACATGTGCAATTATATAAAACATTTCCATATTAGTCATTTTGTACAAAAAAAGAAAAAAAATGAAAGAAAGAAAGAGAAAAATAGCATGCTTCAGTCTATTCAATCAATATCGGTTCTTTCTCTGGAGGTAGATAGTATGCTTCATCATTAGTCCTTTGACATTGTCTTGAATCATTGTATTGCTGAGAATAGCTAAGTCATTCATAGCTGATCAAACAATATTGCTGTTACTGTGTACAGTGGTCTCCTGGTTCTGTTTGCTTCAGTGTTGCAGTTACTTTTGCCTTCTTTTGGGGCTTCTCTAGATTCACAACAAATTTTGATACTGATTATCTTCTTTAATTTACTTTAATTTAGTCTGGGTTCTGCCCTTCACAACTGGGGCTTTGTGCCAGAGCTAGCCTTTGCTCCCTTGTTGCTTTTGAGGGCAATTGTAGACCCTGTGTAATCTCATCCTTGGTCCCCTGGGTACCTGGACTAATCTTTACCTCCCAAAAGTTAGGTTCCATGGATTTTTGATGTCCAGAGTGCTAGATCCTTAAGACCTTCCCTAGTCTCTAAAGGCAGAATGTTAGAGACCTTAGAGCCCTTGGACCTGCTTCCGTATTGCAGTAGTTATTGGTACTTCCTCAGGCTTCTGAGATCCCCTCACTGGGGTTTCGTGACAATACTGGGATTTTGATCTCCCTGAGTCTTATGGTCCCTTTACTCCTATTACTTCTGGACTTAGAGTCCTTCCAGCTATGTGTGTCTCTGATCCCTCTGGGAGGCTGTTGTTTTGTTTGCCTGTGGTCATACTACCTTAGCTGGTGGACCACCTTTCTGTCGGTTTCTGGTAGAATTTTTGTATAGTTCTGTCATTGAAGAAGTCACAGTCATTTCTTAATGAATTTTTTTTTTGAAAGGAAACAAGCATTTTTTTTCCCTAAGCTCACTCTTTGTTTTTTATTTCTCTTTCCTCCAGTCAGTCCGCTGCTAAACTTCGAAAAGTTAAGACATTTACAAGTTGTTTTTTTCTGCAATCAACAATGTCACTTCCTGCTGAAAAAATTCACTCACTCCTTCTTTCTCCTTGTCTAAAATACGAATCCCATTATCTTTCACAGTCATACTTCATTGTAATTTTTCCTACCTTTTTGCTCTTGAGTTATTGCCTTTCTTTTTTTTAAATTAATTTATTTTGAATTATCAACAATAATTTCCATAAGCTTTTGAGTTTCAAATTTTTCTCCTCTCCCTCCCTTCCTAAGATAGTGCGCAATCTGATATAGGCTATATATATATATATTTTAATGAATTTCTTGACCATTATTTGGTATGAATATCAGATTTTTGCTGGTGTAGGTAACTGGGTGCTTCCTGTTCTGGTAGCCATCTGGGAGTCCAGGTCAATTTTTTTTTAAAGTCAGAGAAAGATTAAATTAATGTTAGGAAAACATGTGAAGGAGTAAATAAAATGCCAGGCAGTTCTTGAATAAGTATTCGAGACTTCAATCTGTATTAATTTCTGACTTATGACAATAAATTATTCTTGAACCACTTGTCCTACTACTATTAGTTTAACTAAATGTAAAAATTACCCAAGTTGCCTAACTTAGCCACATTATTATAAAATAAAAACAATAAATTGTTATATTACTACTAAATTCCCTAAGTAGCAAATGAAAATATTCTTATAGGACTTTTATTTCTGTCTTATTTTGTTAGGTATAATAAGGATGTGTCTCTCTCTTATTGGAACCCCTATTGGATGCTGCCCTCTGATGTTTGTGGAATGAACTGCTTTTGGGAAGCCACTTTTAGGTAGGAACTTATTATTTAAGTAGTAGCTCAGAGTAGGTAAGAGCAGATAATAAAAACCAGGACTATAGAAGAGAATTATTTTGATAGTTTTTCTTCCCAGTAGCTTAACATTTTCTTTGAAGTATAGTTAATAATTTTTCTGGTTTAGCTATCTATTCTCTTTTTTTTTCTTTGCTCTTTAAATTCAGCAAATATTTGATTCCTATTATGTATAAAACATGTGAAGTACTGAGGTTACAGTGATGTAACAGACAAAGCTTGTTAAAATTGTTATTTTTGTTATTTGATTAATATATCTGTCAGTGTTTACCATGACTAAAATATTCTTCTGAATTCTCAAGTAATACTAGAAAGACTCTATGGTTTAGGAATTTATAATCTTAGATGACACAGATATGGAACATATGATGAGATACAAATATATAATAATTATCTCTGTTTTTTAAATATCAAGGTTTTTTTGGTCCAGGTAATCATCTCATGGTACTATTTAAAACAAATGAGTGCTAACAACACATTCAATCAACAGAGCGCAGTATTAAAGCATTGCTTTACAGAGGGCTTCAGGATTTAGTGCATTTGTGTCCTAAGAGTACATTCATATAAATGGCACGCAAGTAAATAGTCATACACACCAAACCAAATGAAAAAACAAAGCTGACTAGCTATAATAAGATAAATTAATAAAGAACAAATATAAATATAATCATTAGTATGTATGCAAATAAACAGCAACTAAATCCGTTCATAGTAACTATGATACATAACCATAAGACAAACATAATTGCAAAGTAATAAAACAGAAACATAACTTAAGAATGCAACAATTAACATCTACATCGATAAGGAATTATAATTATGGCAAAGTCTCTGGCATTGTCACTTGAGAGCAAGGATTGTATGTTTATTTATTTATCTATCCTATCTTGCCATATCCATCCACCTTTCTATCTATCTATCTATCTATCATCTCTTTCTCTGCCTTTTTTTCTATCACTGGACCTTAATATAGTACTTAGCTCATAGTAAGCATTTAATAAATGCTTATTGACTCACTGACTCACTATCTCTTTCCTAAGATTAAAAAAACCACATACTTTAGTAGGCACATAAGAACGATTTGCTGCTGATTATATTTTCCAAATGAATAGAATAAGTTGGTAATGCTTTTCTTTGCATACACTTGGCACAAGTTTCACACATCTTTGTGTCATATTCTGCCATCTTGGGCCATTACAATCTATTTCTTATGAGTTCCAGGATCCTTTCTCAGTCCACATGTCAGAAATCATCATGTAATGCTTCCAAGACCATAGAGAAAAATATTATGGTTAGCCATTGCCACACTATTCTGACCATAACTATCTGCTGGTACCATGTGTGCAATGAGGGATTTTCTGCCATTATAGTGTCAACTGTAAGGTGCTGGAAGTAACAGGAACTCGCGTTCTTTCACATCGCTCCCTGACTTCTCCGCTTGTTTAACTCTTCATATACCTTCATCAGCTGTCTACTTCCTTTTTTTTTTTTAAGATTATCTTTACCCTTTAATCAGAAATAAGTTCTCCCAATTGGGTGGGGTCCCACCCAAGATTGAGGAGAATTTTTTTTTAATTTATTTTTAGTTTTCAACATTCACTTCCATAAGCTTTTGAGTTTTAAATTTTCTCCCCTGCCTCCTGGACTTCTCCCCAAGATGACGTGCAATCTGATATAGGCTCTGCATATACATTCCTATTAAATATATTTTCACATTAGTCTTGTTTTAAAGAAGAATTAAAACCAATAGGAGGAACCATAAGAAAAAGAAACAAAACAGAAGGAAAAAAAAAAGCAGATAGTATGCTTCGATCTGTATTCAGACTCCATAGTTCTTTCTCTGGATGTGGATTTTCCATCATGAGGCATTGGAGATGTCTTAGATCCTAGTATTGCTTGGAAGGGTTAAGTTTATCAGTATTAGTCATCACACAACGTGACTGTTACTGTGTACAACGTTCTCTTGGTTCTGCTCACTTCACTCAGCATCACACCATACAAGTCTTTCCAGGTTTTTCTGAAGTCAGCTTGTTCATCATTTCTTATAGCACAATAGTATTCCATTACATCCAGATACCACAACTTGTTCAGCCATTCCCCAATTGATGGGCAGCCTTTCAATTTCTAATTCTTTGCCACCACAAAAATAGCTGCTATGAATATTTTTGTATATGTGGGTCCTTTTCCCATTTTTATGATCTCTTTGGGATATAGCCCTAGAAGTGCTATTGCTGGGTCAAAGGTATGCACATTTTTGTAGCCTTTTGGATATAGTTCCAAATTGCTCTCCAAAGTGGTTGGATTATTTCACAACTCCACCAACAGTGCATGAGTGTTCCAATTTTTCCACGTCTTCTTCAACATTTATCATTTTCCTGTTTTGTCATGTTGGCCAGTCTGATAGATGTGATGTGGTACCTCAGAGTTGTTTTCATTTGTATTTCTGTAATCAATATTGATTTAGAGTATTTTTTCATATGACTATAGATGGCTTTAATTTCTTCATTTGACAACAACTGCCTGTTCATTTCCTTTGACCATTTATCAATTGGGGAATGACTTGTATTCTTATAAATTTGACTTAATTCTCTCTATATTTTAGAAATGTGGGTCTTATTAGAGACACTGATTGTAAAAATTCTTTCCCAATTTTCTACTTTCCTTCTAATCTTGATTGCATTGTCTTAGTTTGTGCAAAACCCTTTCAATTTAATGTAATTAAAATTATCCATTTTGCATTTTGTAATGTTCTCTATCTCCTGTTTGGTCATGAATTCTTCTATTCTCCATAAATCTGTTAGGTAAACTGTCCTAAATTCTTAAGAATTGTTTTAGATCATTATATTACTGAGAAGAGATAAGTCATTCACAGTTGATCATCGTACACTATTACTGTTACTGTGTACATTGTTCTCCTGACTCTGCTCACTTTACTTTGCATCAGTTAATGTAAGACTTCCAAGGTATTTCTGAAACCACCTTGCTTGTCATTTCTTATAGTACAGTAATATTCTGTCACAATCATATACCACAATTTGTTCAGCTACTCCCCAGTTGATGCGCCCCCCATCAATTTCCAGTTCATTGCCACCATTAAAAGAGCTGCTGTAAATGTATTTGTAAATATTTCTTTCCTCCTTCCCCACCCTCCCACTCCTTTTTTTTTAATCTCTTTGGAATACAGACCTAGCAGTGGGATTGCTGGATGAAAGGGTATGCACAGTTTTATAGCCATTTGGGCATCATTCCAAATTACTCCCCAGAACTGTTGAATCAGTTCATAACTCCATCAAGAGTGCGTTATTAAGAGTGCCCCAGTTTTCCAATATCCCTGCCAACATTTATCATTTTCCTTTTCTGTCATATTAGCCAATCATTTCTCTACTCAATAGTGTTTATAGCATTTGACTATAGATAGCTTTGATTTCTCCTTCTGAAAAACTCTGTTCATATCCTTTGGCATTTATCAGTTGAGGAATGAATGATTCATTTCTTTTAAATTTGACTCAGTTCTGAATATGTTTGAGAGATGAGGCCTTTGTTAGAGAAACTTCTTATAAATTTTTTCTTCTAGTTTTCTGCGTCCCTCCAGATACTGGCTGCATTGGTTTTGTTTGTGCAAAAACTTTAACTTAATGTAATCAGACTGATCCTTTTTATTTCCTATAATGCTTTGTCTCTTCTTTGTTCATAAATTCTTCCATTATTCATAGATCTGACAGGTAAAGTATTCCATGCTCCCCACATTTTCTTATGATATCACCCTTTGTGTCTAAATCATCTCCCCTTTTTGACCTTATCTTGGTATATGGTGTGAGATGTTGGTCTGTATCTACTTTCGCCAAACCATTTTCCAGTTTTCCTAGCAATCTTTATCAGATAGTGAATTCTTGTCCCATATTGTATTTATCAAGCACTAGATTTCTGTAGTCATTTACTACTGTGTACTGTGTACCTCATCTCTTTCCACTGATCCACCATTGTGTTTCTTATCCAGTACCATTTTGTTTTGCTGATTACCACTTTATAATACAGTTTGAAATCTGATGCAGTTAGACCATGTTACTTTGCAATTTTTTTTTAGTAATTCCCTTGATATTCTTAGCCTTTGTTCTTCCAGATGAATTTTGTTATTTTTTTCTAGCTCTGTAAAATAATTTTTTTGGTAGTATGATTGGGACGGCACTGAACAAGTAAATTAATTTAGGTAGAATTTTCATTTTTACTGTATTGGTTTGATCTATCCATAAGCAAGTGATATTTTTCAAATTTGTTTAGATCTGACTTTATTTGTGTGAAAAATGTTTCGTAAAGTCATTCCCTAATTGATAAATGGTCAAAGGATATGGACCGGCAATTGTCAGATGAAGAAATTAAAGCTATCTTTCGTCATATGAAAAAATGCTCTAAATCACTTTTGATTAGAGAAATAGAAAGCAAAGCATCTCTGAGGTACCACATCACATCTATCAGATTGTCCAACATGACAGAACAGGAAAATGATAAATGTTGGAGAAGATGTGAGAAAATTGGAACACTAATGCATTGTTGGTGGGGTTGTGAAATGATCCAACCATTTTGGAGAGCAATTTGGAACTATATGGAGAGGGCTATAAAAATGTGCATACCCTTTGACCCAGCAATAGCACTTATAGGGCTATATCCCAAAGAGATCATATAAATGGGAAAAGGACCCACATGTACAAAAGTATTTATAGCTGCTCTGGAAGTATGCATATTGATAGCAAGAAGTGATTGCTACCACTGTGTTGACAAGGTACCATCCTCACAACAACACTGGTGTGAGGTAGGCAGGACATCATTCCCATTTTACAGAAAGGGAAAGGAAATGAGGCTCATAGGTCAATTGACTTGCCTCCTGTAGTGGGGTAACTGGGAGTCAAACCCAGGTCTTCTGACTCCCAGTCCAGTGCTCTTTCTACTGTACCATGTGACAATAC